AATAAATTGTATAAACCAGAATAAAATTGAATTGACTTGTTTTGGAAGGAAAAAAATCCCTTTGGAGCTAAAGACACTGTATATCCAAGGCAAATCCAGTTGAACCAAGTCTTCTGCAGTTGACTATTTATCATTTGGGTGTTGTCCCTTGAGATCAAGCATAATTTTACCTGGATTATGTGGTTGCAGAGATCAGGGTTCACTATTGATTCAGATAAATGCTAGGTGGTTCTGCTCTCCTGCATACAAACAGAATAGGTCTCCAAGCATCTTCCAGCCCTTCAAAACTAAACCCTGAAGTGTCCTCTGCACATTTATCAGCCATGTGCTAAAGCCATTTTTCTCTTAAAGGCAAAAAAGACAAAAGGATGCACTTGATGTCAGCTACATCAGTGAAGACTCGATGAGGTTCTTCAGTTCTAAACGGGGTCAGAACTTGAGCTAGCAGAAATTAATCTCGAGACACCTGGGAATTGGTTTGTTTCTGTTACTTGCTGAGGGTAAAACGTGTGTTTTACTTGACTTTTCAACCTGCTCATTTCAGTTCAGCTTTACAGTTTGCCCTGGCAGCCAAGAGCCGTTGCTGCTTTTCTCTGTGGAGGTCAAGAAATGAGATGGTCGCGGCTTACGTGTGGATTACTCCAGAAGAGGGTGCTCAAAGCTCACAAAAGTCGCAAGCATCAGTTTAGCAGCCGCGGCATCTCCGCAGTTTTCAGCTTTCACCTGCAGTCTCAAACCCAGATCTACCACTGCCACACTCTTCTTCCCCCGCAGACTGTTGTTTGTTGACAACTGCGAGCATATTCTCCTACCCTCTTAAGCCAGGGTTATACTAATGAAGGAACTAATTCCTTAGAATTGTGCTGAGCATAGAATTATAGAATGGTTTGGTTTGGAAAGGACCTTAAGATCATCCAGTTCCAACCCCCTGCCATAGGGTCTAGTGATGCTTCACACAAGCCCTGTCCAACCTGGCCTTGAACACTGCCAGGGATGGGGCAGCCACAGCTTCTCTGGGCACCCTGTGCCAGCGCCTCAGCACCCTCACAGGGAAGAGCTTCTGCCTTAGATCTAACCTGAACTTCCCCTGTTTCAGTTTGAACCCATCACCCCTTATCCTGTCACTGCAGGTCTCTGTTGAAGCATCCTCTCCAGCACCCTTGTAGGCCCCCTTCAGACACTGGAAGCTGCTCTGAGGTCTCTATGCAGCTTCTCTTCCCCAGGCTGAACAGCCCCAACTTTCTCAGCCTGTCTCCATATGGGAGGTGCTCCAGCTTTCTCATTCAAGCTGTGTAGGATGAAAGGCAGGTGCTTTGGCTGCCCATGTGATGGCACTATTCGAACACACTTTTACCCTCGTGAGTGCTGCAGTTTAACTTTTCTCTTGGCAAGCACCAACTTCTGGGTAATTCCAGTTGGAATTTTGCAGGATAAAAGAACACAAAAGCTTGTGGGAAAACAGACTGAGCAGCTGGGGCTGCAGAGGGAGGAACTGCCAGCAGGGAGCCTGGCAGGTGAGCTCCACATTGATGGGGTTTCAATCACACACCAGCGGTGGGAAGCCAGAGCACCCACAGCCAATGAATTGCAGACTGAGGCTGCCTCGACTCAAACAGCACTCAACATTCAAATTCAGCTCACGATTCACACAAACACAAGAGGCCAAAAGCATGAGAAGCACAGCAGTGAGGAGAAGGTGAAGCACTAACAGATGGGGACAGATTGCAAATGGAGGGAGCTCATAAATCAGTGTCCCAATGCATGTGAGACCCCAAAAATACAGCAGCAAAAGGAAGACAGGCTGACAACAGTGTGCCAACGACAGGAGCAGATCACAAAGGGCACAGCAATGAGGGAAATGTAGCCCACAGGACCTGCCTTTTGCTGGAAACCATTCAGTTCAGTCATGGGTCACAGGTACCATGAAAACAGGCTTCTGGACAAGCAGAAAAGGATTTCTCCTTTTTCCAGTGCATAGAAGGAAAAGTTAGAGAAGGACAGGCCACAGAGAACAGCCTCTAAATGTGAAAGTGAAAGGAAAGTTGTGCCTCAAGCAATCCCAAGGCTAGAAAAAAATGCTGCTGAAAACCAGGAGGTATTTCTACTCTCCCACACTGGTATAGGGGTGTTGTGTGTACCTGTGCCTGTCTCTTCATCACAGTAACAGCTAGCGGGGCCAAATTCACCACCCTGCTGTAGGTACCAGCCCAGCAGAACCTGACTGCACATGTCCAGCTGCCCCAGGACTGAGCAGAGCCTGTCACCTATCCCTTGCTTTCAGTAATCAGGTTTGTCTGTGTCAGCATTTCTCTTAGGAATGTTTTTCGTGGTTCATGGAAGGCAGATGGGATCTGGCAATCAGCAGTTGTCCTTCCCAGTGCCAGGCAGTCACTTTGCAGGTCATTATGCTTTAAAATAATTCAAAGCTCATTATTGATGCAGGAATTCCTGAGGCAGGAATTGTCAATCACAATCTGTAACATGGCTGGGGATAAGAGACCTGGTCCCAGCTGCGGAAAGCTGGGGCAGAGGTGCTGATAAACATCCAATTGCTTTTACCTGCATTTTGCTCCTTCTCTGTCCTTTCCAGTCTCTTCCCATGCCCACATGGGTTAGAGAACACATGTTCTGTATGTGTTCCCTTTGCCAATCCGATGGGAAACACTCACTGCTGCATTAGTGGAACATCTGCTTCTTAGTTTAGCTTTCTGCTTTGCTTCCACAGACATCAGCCCTCATCCCATCGAAGCCGCGTTATGCCACTCACTGGCTTGGGACACCGTCCTGCATTGCCAAAATGATCCCTTAGCATCACTGAACCCTCGTAAGTGCTGATTCTTGTTGCACAGCATGCTGGGCGCTCATTTTTGGACCTTTAGCCAGAGGTGAAAAAAGCAAATACATGGAGAAACCCTCCAGCTTCACCACCAACATCAGCAATCTTCCAGTGAGTAGCATCAGCATGGGGGGCAGCTAGGCTCTACCCTCAGTCTTGAAGGTGTTAAGGCTGGCAGTTAGCAACTACTGAAGAGTCCTCACAGTCCCATGGGAAATATTTGCTGTAGATATGTCCTGGGTTCAGCAGTAGCAGTCACTTTTCTCCTTCTTAGTAGCTGGTGCAGTGCTGTGGTTTTGACTCTCAGTCTGGGAGCAGCGCTGATAACACCGATGGTTTTAGTTGCTGCTCAGTAATGTTTACTGTGACCAGTCTTCCTCGAGCCTGAACTTTTCGCCTCTGGTCGTTACGCATGCTCCCTGGAGGCTTGGTCTTTGTCCAAAGCGCAGAGCCCATTTCAGCGTCCAAAGGACTGGAACCAAGTCACGGTCCCTACTTCTTGACAATAGCTATGTCCTTATATCTTGTTCCAGCATACATGGCGAGTATGACAAGCACGAACGAGTAGTAACATTGTTAAGCAAGCGGCTTGATCTACCCCCTTGTACAGTGCAAGTACCATAAGCATGAGCAAGCAGTAACACTTAAGCAAGCAGCTTGACCTACCCCCCCCCCCCCCCCCATCGGTTAACCCTTCGCATCAGTGGTTTGTGTTATACCTTAGTTACTGGACTATTCTTATCTTAACCTGTGGGAGTTACATGCTTTCGATTCTCCTCCCCATCCCTCCAGGAGCAGGGAGTGGAAGGTGGGGGGAGTGAGAGCAGCTATGAGGTTCTGAGTTCCTGGCTGGGCTTAAACCACGACAAGGTAACCCTGAGCAACCATGCTTACACAGCAAACACAGGGCACACTCCCCGCCCTCTGTTGTCAGGCAAACTGAACTTGCAATTTCTGGGCAAACAGCTTTATTACAGTAAGGAAGAAAGCTTTCCACATCTCAGACTCCACCTTCAGTTCCTCAAGTCCACACAGCAATGGCAGCACTGCTTGGAGAAAGGAGAGCAAACCTGAGCACTAGGCAACCCTGGAGACAACCAGGCCCTTCACCAACTCCATTGCCCTTTTCTGGCCTCACTCCAGCAACTCAATCATAGAATAGTTAGGGTTGGAAAGGACCTTAAAATCATCAAGTTTCAACCCCCCTGCCATGGGCAGGGACACCTCACACCAAACCATGGCACCCAAGGCTCTGTCCAACCTGGCCTTGAGCACTGCCAGGGATGGAGCATTCACAACCTCCCTGGGCAACCCATTCCAGTGCCTCAGCACCCTCACAGGAAAGAACTTCCTCCTTAGATCCGTTGTTTATATCAATGTCTCTTTTGTAGTGAGGGGCCCAGAGAACACAACCATATTCTCACAAGTGGAAATCACCCCAGTATTTGGTTGCCAGCTGGGGAAGAGACTGAGTGATGGGAGGTGTGAATCTAGCCCAGGCCGTCAAACAGTTTATTCCCCATGCTACCTGACAATAGAAATGCTCACTTTGCTGAATTGAGGCTCTATGGCAGGACCAGAACTGAAGACAATATTGCTGAAGATGAGGATGAGGGTCCAACATGGTCTGGGGCTGTCACCTCATGGAGTCAATCCAGAGGTCAGTAGGCTTTCTAGCTGAAGCCTGGGACTCATAAGCAGAGCTGGTATGCTCTTAGTGAGTCACCTCAGGTTACACCTTGGCTCTAGGTGAGCTTGAAAGATGGTATTTTACCAGCAAAAGAGCCTGCTGCACTCCTCCTGAATGGAGAAAGGTGGTATGCAAAGGGGGGGTGGGGTCTGAGCCAAGAGAGGAGCAGAGAAATGATGGTGACATCTGGCACTTGGAGGCAATGCTGACCTCCACCTTCAGCAGCAACAACAAAAAAAACACCTTGAGCCCTGTTGGACAAGGTCAGAAAGGGAAACAACGTGCTGGCCCTCATATGCAGCACCTCTGGAATGATACCCATTGTGCCAAAAGCCCAAGGAGCACGAAATAGCCCTGGGATTTTGTAGGCAGGTCCTGGCAGGAGTTTTTCTTTTCACTGACAGCTGAAGCACTGCACAATTACTGGTTTTATGACATAGAAAAATTGATGACAAAGTCCTTCACTAAAGAGCATGTGATCAGCCTTTGTTTATCAGTAACAGAGGAAACAGCAGCTCCCCAGCATGTAAATTCCTGGCTGCTGGCAGGACAAGGACAATGGTGGCACATACCAGCTGCTGGTGCTGGAGTAGAGTCTGGCATGGTGGAAAGCAGAGCCAAGCCCTGAAACGAGCTTCTGGATACAGTCTGAAACAGGGTCAGGGTGACTTGTCCTGCCTTACACCCTGCAGTTGGCATCAAACACCCTAAAAGGAACAGCCAAGGAGTCAGTGATGGCTTATTTACCCATCGAGAGGAGGTGAGCACTGGGTTGTGTGGCTCAATTGCTCCCATGAAACACATCCATCCATCCCCCAGATCCTAAGTGATACTTCAAGGTCTCACAAAAGTGTTGAAGTAGCTATAATCTCTTCTGGCTTTAAGCACTGCATTCAGGCAAGCAGGACAGGCAACCTCATCCTCCTGCATCCCGGCTTTTCCTCTGAGCAGAAAGAGGGGCTCCATGTCAGCAAAGCAGCTTAGACTCCCCCTTTTTTCTGGGGGAAGGAGAGATGAGGGTGGGTGCAGGCCTATTTCCATCCTAGGTCACTGTCATCTGTGTGAGACTTGTTGACCATCAGTTCTGCAGCTGGTGGGGAGCTCTCAGGCTGAGGACACTCCCAGCCCTCTGTGGTCATCATTCTTGTCATAATCTTCTTCCTCTTCCTCCTCCTCCTTCTCCTGCATATCTTGGTCACTCTCATCATCACTATCTACTGCATTGTCCTCAATCACCTCAACTGTTTCTCTAGCTTCTGGATCCACACTGGTCTTAAACCACACAGCTTTGTAGCCATCATCTGCCATATTCCTGTCTGTCTTGAGGATAGACTTCACTTCCTTCTTAGGCTCAGTCTCTTCCACTTCTTCCTCTTTCTCTTCCTGGTCAAAGGTGATGGTGGAGGCTACAGAAGGCTTGGGGGGGCTGTTCATTTCTTCTGCATTGGAAGAGGGCAATGGAAATGCTGGTTGCTTCAGTACATGTGTCACTGACCCAACACTGCCGTTCTCTGGTGTCTCGTGCTCTTTGGTGCTCACATCTGGGAGTGAATCTCGCTTGTAGCTTTGGTTCTGGAAACCCCCAGGGATTTCCTTTGAGAACTATGGGAAGAGAGACACCTTGTGATTGTAGTGAAAGGAGAAGACACAAGGGAAGAGGGAGTAGCTGAAATGACTGAGCTACTACTGCTTCTTTTGCAGTTACACCTATTTGAAGCCTGGGATAGATAGAGCTCCTTAGAACAGCTATTTACTACTGACTCCATTTCTGAATTATTTTTCAGATAAGCATGGGCATGTTTTCCAGGAGGGCTGAGCACCAGCAACATGTACTGAGTTGTACCCATCCACTTTGGGTATTACCCTGGAGCGGGATTTAACTCACTCAGGGTGAGGTATGAAGTATTCATCTGAGCTATGTGCTCTGGACTCATGTTGCAGTCAGTGGGGTCTAGGATCTTGACACACCCATCCTAATGCAAAGATAACCACATCTGGTCAGAGGAATTATCTCCTTAGCTTCAAAGCAACCAGCCTGCCATGGACTTGAGAGCACTAAAAGGAAACAGATCAGCTACAGACAACTAAGTCCAGGTTTTAGGATAGGATGTGAAGGGGCCTTTATCTCTTTTGACCACAGAGGAAGGATGAACAGTGGCTCATGCCACAGACACAGGTTTTTCAGAGACTGCCCCTCATGTGCCACGTTCATCCTAGATTTTGCGCTCCATGGAACCGTGGTTCTCACCTTCCCATGTCTGCTCATCATCTACCATACAGCTCCAGGCTCCGGGGGCAGAAAAGAACAGCAAACATCACCAAAGCGATGCTACCTTTGCTAACAGTGTCTCAGGAGCAATTTATCACCTTCACACAGACATACAGTATTTGGACAGCCCATCCCATCTTTACAACCTCCTCAGATCCCACTTTGTAACTCAAATTCAGGTACAAAAAGGCACTTACCTTTTTCCTTATCAAGTATTTGACTGGTTTTCTGTACTGTTTATATATCATCACTCCAAGGAAGACTAAGGCAAGTAATAACAGTGCTGCTAATATCCCACCTAAGATAGCCATATCCTGAGCAGTGTACGCCTTATCAGAGGAGGTTACAGCTCCAGCTACAAGAAAAACAAAACAGTGTTACAAAGCCTAAAAATGGCACCTTTTTATGGAAGCTTTTTTAATGTAACAGTCCAATGTGGAAGAAGCTCCAACCAATTTTGGAAGGGCAAAGCAGCATCCTGTGGTGCTGAATGTGGCAGGGATGTATTTAATATCACAGAACACCGTTTGTTTGCTGCCCTAAAAGCACAGGGTTTGTTTTTAAAGCCACCACCCTCAGAATATAACTTCCAGTATGTTACATGAAGTGGAAATAGCATCCATTCACAGGACATGACTTTTCCCCCTGATTTAACCAACCTAATCGACGTATGACAGTATAAAGCCAGCAGATGTTACGTGAAGTAAAGCTAGGTACATCTTTCACTTTCCCACCTCATCCATGTACACCAGAATGTAAAGTGAAGTTTATACATGTGTGAAAATGCCAAAGTTCCTTTAATCCAGAGCATCACCTCTGATGCTGATGAGCATGTTGAAATAAGACATAAAAAGGCACAAAAAGCAGGAAAAGCTCTAGAAGGTCCCCAGGACAGGAAAGCCTTCCCTCCCTTTTTGTAGCTGTAGCAATATATAGCAGCCTTCTCAGGAGCAGCTTGTGCTTTCAGCCACCAGGCAGTGTAAGCAGATCTGTAGAGAGACCAACATTAGACAAAGACAGTAACCTCCTCAGGGTTAAACAGCTTTGGTGGTGCTGGATTCTTCCTATTTACATGTTCCAGCTTCACTTTATAGTGTAAATGAGTCTCTAAGTTTAATCATTAATGAATCACAGTTTTGTTCTCATGCTGGCCTGTTTGTGACAGTGGACTTTGAGTATTCCCTCCATATCTGACTGCACCCGCAGTTTATCTTTAATACAGTTGGTGACGGTTTAGGACCTATGCTTCGTCATACCTCCTGGGGAGCTGCAGCCCATGGAGCTCCACCACCCTTAACTCCTCCTGTGCTGTACAGCACACACTGCCTCTGTGAGAGCTGGCTCACCTTGGGAATGACTTACCTCAAGATCCATGTGAGCTTTGCTCTGGCAAACCAGAGGCCAACATACAGTTACCACTTCCCAGAAGAAGAGTATGTTAAAAATAGCCCTAGTTTCTCCCTGGATATCGGGACACTCAGTAACACACCCTCCAACCTGTTGGATGCAGATTCCTTAGCACTGCCTCTTAGTGTCCAGGGTTAAATATCCTGCAGATTGGCCAGGCAAATGGTGATCTGAGCCCAGTTTAGGCCATTCCTGGATGCTGACTATAGACTAAAGCACAATTCCTCTCAGACTCTAAGCTTTTCAGTGCAACTTCAATCTACTTTTTTGCATAGTTGTCCAATTTTGTGTGATTTAAATAGGAAGGGCAACATTTAAAAGTTCCATAAAGGTGTCGGTACATCTGTTGGGAGTGTTGTATCTCCATGTACTGACACCTGAACTGAGCGAGCTGGGCTGCACCCTTAAATTGGTTTTAGGTGGTTTTTACACAGCCAGTGGTTTTCGCTGTGAAGGGGCAGATTCACACCCAGGCACCCACATTTTTATCCTCCAGAACTCCCCACGATAGTGGTGATGAAAGAGTGATGCAGTGGGATCACCCAGCTGGGAACTTCAATCACACATATTCATGTCTAAAACAATGGAGTCTGGGCATTAAGTGCCTATCCTGATGTAAAAATGCATGATATTGGCTCATCTTAATCCAAAGCAGTAGTTCAAATTTAACTAATTTATAAGACCTACATAAGAACTATATCTGAGAAGCTTGGAAGTGAGAGAAATTTTTACATCAACAAAGCCAAACGTTAGCTGGAGGGTTGTGTATAGAGCCTCCGGTTTCTCCTGTTTCTCATGGGTCATTTCTCCTGCTAAGAGAATAAAACTTGACTTGACCTGAGCCCGGGCTCATGAGGAAGCCTGGCTTTGTGGGGTTGTGCCAGCTTCTGTCTGCTTTGTATAAATAGGAAATAACATTGCAGCTTTCTCTGGATTTGGCTAAAGAGGAGCAATGATGTACCAAGGTGTCAGGACAACCCTCCTTTGCCATGATTAGACATCCTGGGTTCTTTCTGACCCACAGAACAGCAGGAGGTAACCCCAGACTTAGCTTTAGAATAACAAGACATTACAGTACACAGCACTACTTAGTCTCTGAAGGCTCTTTGAGGCATGTGGTGACGGCATCGTAAGGATGTTGTTTTCTCTCATAGCCACTGTAGAGCCTCCTGTAAGTAGGGGGTTGGTCTCAGGCCAGGTCCACAGACTTCAGTGGGTGACCTGTCCTTGGTGGTTTGCCCGCAGAAGAAGACAAGACTCCCCAGTTATCTCCACAAAGCAGAAACCAAAGAGACACTCAACCTACCTGTGGCATGCGTGACCTCCACCACAATCACAGTGCTTGCTTCCTGCAGGCTCACCGTGTCTTTCCCAACAGCCTGTGTGAACGTGGCAAAGAGAGAGCTTAGGGACTTCCTAGATCTCCAGCTCCCTCCCAAGGTACACGGTGGTCCCTTTGTGGAAAGCATACCTTGCCTGTCTCCTCACCGTGCTACCCCTCCCTTCCAGGACCCAGCAAGATATGAAGAAAGCTGCCCTACCTCAACGGTTATGGTTTCTGGGGACTGCAGCACCACATTAGTCAGGATGAATCCGTCTTTGGTTGCAATGAAGTCAGTGCTGTTTTTTATGTAGTACTCAATGTTTGGGTTGACTTTCTGGAAAGCCAGAAGGGTGAATGGTTAAATCACTGCCTGTGCTTTGAGGGCATCTTCGTAACAGGTCTTTGCAGGACTTGTCAGCCACACCTGAACTACGAGGAAGGGTGCAGAGCAGTAAATGAATCTGGACTGAGGAGGTGAGAAAGGCTGAACTCAAGTGGGTTCACTCTGCTGCTCAGAGGTCAAGAATGTATCCTCCAAGTGTTGCAACCAAAACAACCCAAGTCTCACCCAGCTTTTGTTGGAACTTTAGCATTTGCCCAAGCAAAACATACCTGTGCATGGAACCTTGTAAATCTGGTCAGTTTAGCCCTTACAACAGTGCCAAAGGGGGATGTACGTGGAGAATAGACCCGTGCTGAGGGCTGCATAATTTCTTCCTTTGTGTCTAGGCTGTTATTCCTCTGCTAAGCCTCAGTCATGCTATGGAAGCCTTTGGAGAAATCAAACCAGAACTTTTCTTTGCTCAGTGCTTGGGAATGGCTGATCAGGAAGCCTCTTCCCCTCCCTTCTCCCAGTGCACTGCTCAAGAATGGCTCTCTCCAAAGGAGTCTTTACAGGGAGAAGGTTACAATTCCTGGCCCAGGACTGCAGGTCCTTCCTAGTCAGCTGCTGTCTTTGGGCTGGCTCCTCCTTCCAAGCCAGTTCACAGGCAACTCTGTTTGACCTGACAGGGAGGACGTGTCCTCCTGGGATCTTGCCACAAACTCTTCTAGGAAACACTTCACTCGGCCCTCATTCAGACCTGGACCCATTCCCATTCATTGCTTAACCCTGGGCTTTACTCAGCATTCTGTTTTGCAGTGGGTCAGCTCACCTACATAAATCTGGGGGTTTAGAACACAGTACTCCAACAGATCCTTCACATTACATCACACCAGAAGCAGTTCTGATCCAGGTGGAATTTCCAGGGAAATGTAATACAGAACACGAGAGGAAAAGATGTGTTTTCCTCTCCCACCTCCACTTCCTCATGTTTTCTGATCCTATCCCTGAAGCAATGAGAATGAATGTGGTGCGTTTTCAGTTTCTTACACCAGGGAAGTCATCATCCACTGCCGTTATCATCAGGGGGCTTGAAGGATCACCAGCTTGGAAGACAAAGCTTCTCGGGGCCAGACCAACAGACACGCGGCCACTGTAGATCTTGTTCTCAAAGTATGGTGGATGCTCACTTTTATTGACGACCTTAATCTCTACACTGGCTACGGAGTATTTCTGGATGTTGTTGACCTGGGTGGCCTAGACAGAAAGAGAGAGCTGCTATCCATTTCCTAGTAGTGATGAGAAATAAAAGGATAAGTTTGATCTGAAGCCCACTGCAACCCATGGGGTTCTGCCCATCACTTTCAGCTCTGAGCAAGGCCTGTATAAGGGGCCTTATGGTGTTTGGTATGTTGTGCACAGTTCTTTTCAGCTCACCCCTTTGCTCTTGAGCTGTAGCCAGAAGAGGAGCTTGTCTCTAGGGTTGTGTTAACTACTGTAACAGAAGCACCAGTCATTCCTAAAGAAAGCTTTCCAGTCACGCTCCTCCATACTTTCAGCTCAGCAGGACATCCCTGTTCAGTTAAATTTGCTTTCATGTAGCACCCACACATAGGGAAAACTCCTCAACTTCTGCAGGAGGTTTGTAAGCTGATGTAAGACTGGTCAAATACTAGAGGCCCTTCCAAAGGAAAGGGTGTAACTGAATTATTAATGTCATTGACTCCTGTGATATCAAACTGCTGCCTCCTGGAAAGCCAGCTATGCTGGGCTCTTGTCTACTGTGCCATCACGCTTACCATGACCTGCAGGAGGAACCCATCTGGGGAAGTGACTGCTTTGTTCATAGTCAGATTCCCCGTGTCTGCATCCACTGAGAATACTTTGTCTGTATCCCCTACAGAAAATGGAAAGACTATTCAATCATTAGATACCTTCATCAAGTGACCCGGTGCTCATGGACTTTCACATCTTAGTGACCATACCCCCAGGGCATCATGCAGCTTTCCTGGCCTGGCTGCTCCAAGGGCTGGGATTCAGAGGGACTCAAGAGACAAAAAGCACTAAGGAGATGCATGTAAACCCAACTGGATGAGGCAGAACAGCAAAGCTTTGCCTTTCCAGTGCCTAGGCCCAGATATAACCAGCTTCAATTATGCTAAATGCCCAGAGCCTGTGCTACAATTTGAGGACTGAAAGTCTCCAGTTCCCTAACCTGAACCCAAACTGCATTTCAGGAGAGATAAAGGAAGAATTATTCCTATTTTAAAGGTGAGAAACCAAGCTACAGAGAATAGCTGGGTGGAGATTAGTCTCAAATAGCTCTAGGCATCTAAGGGGAAAACATCTCCTACCTGAACTTGTTATGTATACTGTGAAGAGAAAGCAGCATCTCAGGGCATGATGTATCCAACTTACTTTGAACACTGGCCTCAACGTGAGCTGCATTTCAATCTGGAAATGCTTGTTTCTTTCTGACTACAGAAGGAGCCTAGACACAGAAGCCATCTTGTGTTGATGCAGGGGTACAAATTGCTTCCTGCATCTCTAATCTGTGTTTGAATAATGAAAACATTGATGTTGGAGAGATGTTAAAATAGAAGTAAAACCTTTAGTCCTCTTCCTCACTCTGAAACATTCTGGGTGTGTTTAGACAGCCATGGAGGGGGTCTGCTCTGGGCAGGTAACATAGGGGATACACGAGCAATGCAGTCTGAGGAAGGTGACAACTTCTACTCACCACCAACAATACTGTAGACAATTCTTTCATTTATAGTGTAGTCAGGATCAATAGCGTAGATAGGCCCCGGCTCCAGGATGAGGGGTTCCTTCTGCAACAACAAAGCAAAACATTACATACCCCACTGCAGCATCACAGCACCCTCCCAGCCCAGCATGGCTCTGGTGGGTTTGTGTGGGCAGAATGGCATCTATTGCTGGGAAAGGGAGGACAGCCCAGAGCAAAGGGGTTTCCAGCTCTTGCCTCTCACTGTGATGTGCTGCAGGGAGAGGGACAAGCAGTGCTGCTTGGGGTGGGGTGGGGGAACCTCCACTTCCCAGCAGGAAGGCTCCCTGCCAGGCTGCATTGATGACTGAAGATCAGGATGAGCCCACAGGCACTATCCACTGGGAACAGCATCTGGATGCTGTTTTGAGTGTTAAGGATGCATTTTGATCACTGCTGCTTACCGACACCTCGGAGATATTGACCCTCCCAGTGTAGGGACTGCTGATGCAGATGTTGTTGTCCGTGTTAATGAAGGTACAGGGTAGGAACCAGGGTGGTTTGGTGTCCGACTGTTCAATAAGTATATTTATTGTTGCAGTAGCTGTGTTGGTGGTGTCGGAGCTGCCCACAGGCCTGTCCTGTACCCAAGGCAAAGCAGACTCATGAGATGCCCAGAGAAGAGCCCACTTGCAAAAGCCAGTGGCCCAGGGGATTCTAGCTGTTGTAACTCCACTCTAAGGCTTAGCAGTTTAGTGAGATTAGCTAAAGCAGTGAATTATCTCATTCTGCTGATGAAGGTGGACTGAATGCAAGTGTGAAGTTATAGAGGGTGGAAGGTTACTCCAAATTCACCACCCCAGTATCCACCTTCCCCCGTCATCCCAGACGTCTCCCATTCAGACTTATCCTTCAGCTAAGGGCCACTGAGGCAAACAAAGCACTTTGGTCCTCCGGAAGAACTTACCCGTGCATACAGCATCAATGTTGTCAGTTTAAATTTGTCATAGTCCAAAGCTCTTCTTAAATAAATTTCTGGGTTATTAATTCCTTTTATGGCAAAATAACCCTCTGTGTCCTGGTGGGGGGAAAGGAAAATCCTTACTAGGAGACTGAGTCACATACATGATCAAAACACTGCTCATTCCTGTCTTTGTCATCCCAGTCAGACCTTTAATCCTGAGGACCTGGGTGAGTGGACAGGGGCAGTGTGAGGATGCCAGATCCTGGCTTGTCATAGAATCAAAGGATGGTTTGGGTTGGAAAGGACATTAAGATCACCCAGTTCCAATCCCCTGCCACAGGCAGGGACACCTTTCCACTGGAGCAGCTTGCTCCAATCCCCTGTGTTCAACCTGTCCTTGAACACTGCCAGGGATGGGGCAGCCACAGCTTCTCTGGGCACCCTGTGCCAGCGCCTCAGCACCCTCCCAGGGAAGAGCTTCAGCCTTATCTCCAACCTGAACTTCCCCTGTTTCAGTTTGAACCCATCACCCCTTGTCCTGTCACTACAGTCCCTGATGCAGAGTCTCTCCAGCATCCTTGTAGCCCCTTCAGACACTGGAAGCTGCTCTGAGGTCTCCACAGAGTTTCTCTTGCCCAGACTGAACAGCTCCAATTGGCCTCATTGTGTCTTGTCAGAAAGGTTTGTTCACGTTCCTGTGAGTGTTCTTCTCCAAGACCCCTTGCTTTGCCTGCCTTCCTGCTCAGCAGGCACTGGATGACATCTTTTACCTCATTTATTTCCTACACTCAACGTGTTGCCTTTGGTTTGGGTCCATGACAGCCAAGCAATCTCACATCCACGCACAAGACAGATCAAGGACGGCTCAGCCTCAGAGCTGACAAGATCAGTTGCCTTAGCCCAGAGCTTTGGAAACCACCACAAAGGCAAATTGAAATAACATACCCTGCATTTTACTTCAGAACCATCTGCACTTGTTGTGGTTCTCCTTTAACTCTATGTCTTGACTAGAATAACCAAGCAAACCTCTAAAGAGCAGATAAACTCACTGAACTGGAAGCAGGGAAAAGCAGTCTGGAATTCTTTGTGGAATCTTGGGCAGCTCTACTTATCTCCACTTTGCATGGACAGTGTTGGCAAGCAGGACAAGGACTCCTCCTTGCCCTGTTCAACTCGGCACAGCCCTCAACCCAGTGAGGTACAAAGGTCTCCACCCAACGTGTTTACAGGACACCCCAACAACACTTCCCTGGATGATACTGCTCAGAACATCCCAGACAAGAGCTGATTCTGTACAATGGAATCAAAGTAGAAGCAGTAAAGGATTGATACCTGAAATATTGACTGCTCTCGTCTGCTAACCAAACCAACCTTTTGAGTGCTGTCAAAGCTGTCAGAGAACTAAATGCAATACAGTGACCTGAGCCTCCAAAGCTGGGCTCTTCTGAATTAAACACAAGGGCTTCTCTAGAGCTACTATTTTCCCCCATAGATGCTCACCTGCACTGTTGTTGTGAGTTCATAGAAGATGGTGTCCAGGTCGGCATCACTGGCAGTTAACTCCTCACGGGCTATAATGGTTGCATTCACTTTTGTATCCTGCAGCAAAGTTGCTGTGGTTATTCTCTCTGGGAAATGGGCTGAAGACTTCTCCCTGCTAATGCTTCCTTAGCCCCACAGCACTGAGTTCCCTCTTCACTTCCATGCGATGCTTACCTCAGGAACAACTTGGGTGAGGTTGGTTTGCTTGAACACGGGGCTGTTGTCGTTCTCATTGAGAATGGTCACCAGAATGTCCAAGGAATTACTCTGCAGGAAGGGTAAAATAAGAGTCAAAGACAAAAATAAGACTGCTGGGGCAGATACTGCTTTGAAGAGTGACCAGAGGGGATGGTGTGAGGGGCACATCTGGGGAGGGACTGAATGGGGCTTGGGTTTGCAGCCAACCCACAGCGGGAGAAGAGGGGGAGGGAGCTTGTTCCCACCCTTTCCCCATTCATAGAATGGTTTGGGTTGGAAGGGAGCTTAAAGCTGATCCAGTTCCAACCCCTGCCACAGGCAGGGACCCCTTCCACTGGAGCAGCTTGCTCCAAGCCCCTGTGTCCAACCTGGCCTTGAGCACTGCCAGGGATGGGGCAGCCACAGCTTCTCTGGGCACCCTGTGCCAGCACCTCAGCACCCTCACAGGGAAGAGCTTCTGCCTAAGAGCTCATCTCAGTCTCCCCTCGGGCAGGTTAAAGCCATTCCCCTTGGCCTATCACAGGGCTTTGGGTGCTCTCTCTTTGACTGAGAGGGGTATGTCCACAAAGGAAGACCTCTCCTCATCCAGGCCTGTGGACTAGGAGGAGCAAAGGGAAGTACCTGTTGCCCTGCAGTACCCCATAACAGCGCTGCATGTTTGGAAGAGCACTCACCTGCACGTCAGAGTGCCAACAAATCAGGGTCACTATCAGCACAGTGTTTTCCTGTATGCAAACCCAAAACCGAGTCAGTATAGAAACAAACCAAAATGTACTAACTCCTTCTAAAGTAAATGAGACAAGTACATGCATTGCTGGATCAGAAATGCTGCTGGGTTTTTATCTGGTTCTCAGGACCATCTGATTTCCTCTTTCCTTTACAGCCTTCCATCAGTGCTGGGATCCTGTTTATGATGAAGTCAAAGCAAACCTATCTTCGATCCTCTCCCATGATTCCTGTAGCATCAGAACAGCTATTGGCCATTTTTTAGGACTTCAGGTAAACCCAGAGATTTCTACTTAGAAATGGAACCATCCCACACACAGCACAGTGCCATAGGTTGTTCACTGTCTGCTGCTCACTCACATACATGTGGGGTTTACATCAGGGGAAAAGCAGCTTAAAGACGCCTATGGCTGTGAACAGAGCATTCCAGAAAGGTAAAATAAGTTAGTAGCAACCTATCTGACTACACTGACCTTTTAAACTGCCTTCATGCTTCACGTAAGAGCACCTCACTGCTCTGAGCTGTTTTCTACAGGCACACAGGGACCATTTTATAGGAGTCCTGGAGAACTCTGAACACTCCAGTTGCCACATTTTTGCTTTAAAACCTCCCTTTGCGTTAATTCAGACAGTTATTGAAGGAAGGTGACAGCAGGCACACCATGCACCCTCTGCTCCCTATACTCTGCTTGTGGAAGGGTGTCCTCCCAAGCAGTGAGCTCAAACTCAACTGATCCTTTAGAAATGGGTTATGAGTCCCTGAATATCCCAGCCCCCATGCTGAAATTCATTAGACCCCAGAATTACCCATCTCATCCTTATAGCCTGTTAGCTAAAGGCTTACCTCATAGTCCACAGATTCAGTCAGCTGCAGTTCAGACCCCTGTATAGTGAAAAACTTGGCATCTTGGGAAGTAGGATCAATGGTCACAGTGAAGCCTGAATCCACATGGATAGTGGTCAGCACATAGCCAGGAGAGTTATTTTCATAAACACTTGGTTCACTGTCACTAACAGAACACCCTGGAGAACCACACAAATGAGACAAAATTGCCTTAGTGACAGAGCTGGGGGAGACCTGAGGCCCCTCTGGTTCCCGTTGGGGAGAAGGTCATTGAACAAAGCTGTCTCAGATTAGGAGATTTAGGTAAAACTCTCCCCCTGTAATGGTGCAGCTTGCTGCAATGGGGTTATTCATTTGGGGGCATGGACCTGCTGCACGAGCTTACCTTGTTGCTGTGCTGAAATGTCTGTTATGAAGAGGAGCAGAAAGAGCACAGAAGTGAGGAGCCCGTAAGAAACAGCCATGTTGAGGAAAAACCCCTGTCTCTGATGAAGCTGATCGTCTCGCCCTGCTTCTCCCAGTGCACGAAGGCAAAAAGCATTGCCTGGCTGGTGTGGTCCACTGCAGTTCAACCTTTGCCTCATTGGATGACTTATTGAGAGCCATTTAAAGCTCATGGGACACGATGACGCATAGGTTTCTATTTCTACTGTGTTCCTGGGTCTTACCTGCCCCTAAACTCCTTGTAGCAACAGGATGTATTTGAAGCATTCCAGAATTTAGAGCCAAGCCCCCTGTGATAAACACGAAGGAGGACAAGGGCTGACTCTTGGGATGCTCCCTGTATGCTCCAGCCTCCTGCAGTAGGGAAGAAGTGGACATACACCCTTGTTTTCAGCTTGCTCATGGTGTAAGAGGAGAGAGGAGGCAGCTGATCTCACTGCTCCTTTTAACATCCCCATTGATTTCAGAAGGGTCTCACATGCTGCATTTTAGCCAGGTGGTCATTAGTGGCTTAACAAAATACAGGCTGTCAACACTGCTTCTGAAAGGTCTCTTTCCTATGGACCAAAATAGATAAATGTCAAGGTCCTTGAGAAGAGCATTTCAGCATCACAGTAAGGGCATGGGTGCTTAGATGAACATTTGAGAGCAACTGGCTTCTTTGGAGGTGTCAGGTACATCACAAATGATGAAAACTGCTGGTGCAGGACAGATGAGCAGTTCTGCCATAGGCACACATGATGGCAGCTGAAGATGCCATATTTCAGAGCTGCTCTTCAAAATCTCTGTGTATCTATGTTGAATAGCTCTCAGTACATTTCTCAGTTCAGAGAAACCGAACATGACCCAGCTTCAGTGTGTGCTTGAGCTCAGAACCCCCCTGTATTCCGGGCTGCACCCCCATAGCATAAGCAGCAGACTGAGGGAGGTGATCCTGCTGCTCTATTCTGCTCTCATGAGATCCCACTTGCAGCACTGCAGGTGCAGTTCTGGTGTCCTCAACATAAGGAGTTCATGGAGCTGTTGGAACAAGTCCAGAGGAGACCACGAGGATGCTCAGGAGCTGGAGCAGCTCCCGTATGGAGACAGGCTGAGAACATTGGGGCTGTTCAGCCTGGAGAGGAGAAGGCTGCTTGGAGACCTCAGAGCAGCTTCCAGTATCTGAAGGGGGCCTACAGGGTGCTGGAGAAGGACTGTTCATCAGGGACTGTAGTGATAGCACAAGGGGTGATGGGTTTAACCTGAAACAGGGGAAATGAGGTTAAATATAAGGCAGTTCTTCCCTGTGAGGGTGCTGATGTTCTGGCACAGCTTGCCCAGAGAAGCTGTGGCTGCCCCATCCCTGGCAGTGTTCAAGGCCAGGTTGGACACAGGGGCTTGGAGCAAGCTGCTCCAGTGTGAGGCACCCCTGCCTGCGGCAGGGGGTTGGAACTGGATATCTTACAGTCCTTTCCAACCCAAACCATCCTGTGATTCTATACATTCCTTTGCAGCAAACTCTAATTTCTGCTAAATGGAGATACTAGCTTCTTTGTATGGTTGGGTTGTGGGCAGTCCTGACTCCCAGCCATGGAAGGTATGGCCAGAGACTTCAGCTGATCCCAACATGATTTATGTGGGGAAAGCCTGGCAAAATACCTCTTCCCTCACACCCCCCATTCCTAATGGCCCAACACCAAACCCTTGTGCCTGTCTCCCAAAGAGCAGCCAAAGCACAGGTGTAGCTGACAAATCTTTATTTGACTTCAGAAGCAGGCAGATGCTACCACAGAGTGCAAGCGATGCGCTTCATTCAGGCTCCATCTACTGACAGCGCTTCACACTTCACACATCTATCACACTCCTCATAATCAGAGAGGTTTTATTGGGATTTGGCTGCTTTCCAGATTATTTATTTCTGATCTCCACGGTTTTTCCTAAGCAAAACCAGTAGCTTCCCTGTTTATTCCAAGGCTATATACATGCAAAGCTGCCTCCTTGGCTGTCTCTTTTCCTTCACCTTCAGTTGAAATTCTCTGTGTCTTCCTTCATGTCTGCAGCCAGATGCTTAAAGATGGGGCAAATGTACTGGCTGGTGACTGCAGCAGCTTCCCTGGCATCATCCTCTGAGTGGCTGTTGGAAGGGAACAGATGAGTGGCAGTTTGTTATTTCTGGGGGCACAGGCAGCCTGGGGTGTGACAAGGCCACACAAGGCAGGTATATGATAGAGGGACCCTGATCGTGGTTGCCTGCACCCAGACACCCCACAAATGCACAGGTTGGTGTTCCCATCCCCATTTTTGTGGGCAACATGGACAAGAGGTACTAAGGGCCAGCTTATTCCTCCTAATTTTAATGATTTCACAGTGAGATGTCCCATTGAAAGTGGTTGGTCACTAGGAGGAGACAACGTCCGGATGCTGGGACAGCCCATCCTGAGGTGAGTGTTTGAATCAATAGCTGAATGAAGTCAGGGTAGGGAAGGCTTTCCATTTTAACTGCTAGATCAGGTTTCCTAATGGGATGAAGAATTGTTTCAATCCAGGATGATTAGAAAAAGATACTATTTAATTTCCCTAGGATTATTATTTTTAATAACTGACTTTTACATGGCACTGTAACTCCCAATGACAGCTTTGCTTTAGGGAAGGCAAAACTGAGTGCCGGGTGTGCTTGGCACATAGAAATAGAGTTTACCATGAAACTAGGCATGGAAATCAATTGAGGTTGCACAGAGCCACATGTCACCTTGCAGATTAGCTACAGCATTTGCTTCTCTAGCTCTGCAAACCCCCCACCCCTGGGAGTGTGGCTGTGGGCAGAGTGACAGGAGGGACCAAACTGTGTGATGGGGGCTGCAATTCAGCAATGGCAGTTCTTCAGACAGTGCCTCACAAAGTGATGGGCAACGAGGCAGAAGTGATTTTAAAATCTGAACAACTTAATAAATCTTCCATCTTTCCCCTTTTGGAGGATAGTTTTAAAGATATTGTTTTAGTTGGAGCAAGTCCAGAGGAGGCCACGAGGATGCTCAGGGGCTGGAGCACCTCCTGTATGAAGATAGGCTGAGAACACTGGGGCTGCTCAGCCTGGAGAAGAGAAGGCTGCGGGGAGACCTCAGAGCAGCTTCCAGTGTGTGAAGGGGACTACAAGGATGCTGGGGAGGGACTCTTCATCAGGGACTGCAGCGATAGGACAAGGGGTAATGGGTTCAAACTGAAACAGGGGAAGTTTAGATTGGATCTAAGGAGGAAATTCTTTCCTGTGAGGGTGCTGAGGCGCTGGCACAGGGTGCCCAGAGAAGCTGTGGCTGCCCCATCCCTGGCAGTGTTCAAGGCCAGGTTGGACACAGGGGCTTGGAGCAAGCTGCTCCAGTGGAAGGGGTCCCTGCCCGTGGCAGGGGATTGGAAGGAGATGAGCTTCAGGTCCTTTCCAATCCAAACCATTCTATGATATCAGCTGAACCCTTTGGATCATTAACATCAGATTTGTGCTTGAGACAACACCTGGGCATTTACAAGTTACTAGAAGTCTTCTTTCTGCCTTAACGCTGTGATGAGCAGGGCCATAGAAGTGACAAACCTGTCCCACATACCTGGTGTTTAAAAAGCTCTGGTAGAGCCTCAGAAGGCAAAGTTCCTCATAGTTGTTTTCGTCTTCTCTCTCCTGCACATATGTGTTGACTGGGCCTGGAGGGCTGGTTTAGAGAAAGAAAATCATTAATCATAGAATCACAGAATGGTTTGGCTTGGAAAGTACCTTAAGAACCTCCAGTTCCAAAGCCCTGCCATGGGCAGGGACACCTCACACTTGACCATGCAGTGTAAGCAGCACAGCTGTAAAGCAGCCCTGCTATGGAAGGCAGGTTCACCCCACAGCACCCCACTGATGGTCCCGCCTCTATTAACCTGCTGTCACCAGAGCTGTGCAGGAGGAAAAGGAAGTGTCCTCTTCAAATCAGGTTTCTGGCTGGCAAAGGGATAGGCTTTAATATGCTCTTGCTCTCTGCCTCATTACCCAGGGCTGGCATGTCCTTCCACCCATGGATGTATGTACCTTTTCCAAGCACTTGGAAATGAAAACTCTCCTGCATCTGCCAGGACTTTGCTAGGGGTGCATGCCACAGGAAATATCAGAGCACACAGAACGGATGGGAAGGAATCAATGTGCTGTCTGTGCCCTGCAGAAAAGACTGCGCTTGAAGGAAACCTCTGGAGGCAATATTGACCCTTCATAACATACCAGCATCAAGGGCAGAGGCAGCTGTGGGGTGTGTCACAGTGCCCCACATATTATAACTGGTGATGTGTTCATATACGTGGCTTCAGTGGGAGCTCGTGTGCCTGTATGACAGCTGGATGAAAGGCCCCATATTTGCCATATATATATAGGATTATGTCTAAAATCTGCCCAGTCTGGCAGTCAGAGCCATACATGGGGACTGTGTTCAGCTCTGGGCTCCTCACTACAAGAGAGACCTTGAGGTGCTGGAGCAGGGCCAGAGAAGGGAACGGAGCTGGAGCAGGGCCTGGAGCCCAAGTGTGATGGGGAAGGGCTGAGGGACCTGGGGGGTTCAGTGTGGAGAAGAGAAGGCTCAGGGGGGACCTGATGGCTGCCTCCAAGTGCCTGAGAGGAGGATGGAGCCAGGAGGGGCTGGGCTCTGCTCCAAGGAACAAGGGATGGGACAAGAGGAAACGGCCTCAAGCTGCACCAGGGCAGGTTTAGATGGAGATTAGGAACATGGCTCAAGCACTTTCCATTCCCAGGAAGCAGAGCTCTTACGTGCGCTTGCGGCCCATCAGGTTTTGGATGAATTTCTGGACCTGAGCATTTCCTCTCATCTTGCTGTACTCACTGGTGAAGAGTCCATCGGAGTGCCTCTGGGACCTGGGAACATGCAGGACAACGCCTGTTCCTCCCAGCCATGTGATGTGGGACTCATCACAAGACATAGGAATTTCTCTCTTCCCACCATCAAGGTGTCCTGTATCCCTCCCCTTCTCCTCTCCTGCCTCATCTTGAGCATCTTCTGGATGAGGACTGCACTCACGCTGGCTCTGGAGCTGGAGACAGCTCATCCCTGTGGACACCACCCTCATTGCTGGGATCCCATCTCCCTCTGGAGACTTCCAGCCCTCAGGAGGGTGGTTTTGGCTGGTCCTTACCTCTCCTTGAGGCCCATCAGGTGCTTGATCAGCTGCTGCACAAAGGCATTGCCATTCATCTTGCTGAGCTCGCTGTGGAAGAGCCCATCAGCATGCCTCTCAGGCCTGGGGAGGAAGTCAGCAGAGGAAGAATGGTGAAAAGGAATGGTTTTAGGACCAGAGAGAATGAGATTTAAACTGTACCCTCAAGGAAACAGGGTTCCAAGAATTTGGCAAAGCTTCACACAGAAAAAGAGGCAAATCTTATAGGAACTCATCTTTGTTCATCATCACACAGAAACTACCTGCACTTCCTTCTTTCCGATGTGATCACCTTACTATAAGGATATGGGAATGGGAGGTTAATGCTGATTCAGCACAAAAGAGCAGGACAAGAGACTGGAGAAGTAAGAAATTAAACACCCAGATACCTGGCTGCGGAACAGGTAGATAACAGCGGTGGTACCAAAGCCCAGCACCGGCAATGACTGAGTGACAAGGCATTAAAAGCAGTGCTCAAAGGCCCTGGTTGTGGCCATGGGGGAAGCCTCAGCTCTGTCCTCTTCCAGCCCAGCTCCTTTAGTCCTCTGTGCTTTAAGTGTCCCTGCACAGGAGGGAGGAGGGACAACCCTGCCAAGGTCTTACGTAGGACTGTAAAGTGGTGAGCTGACAAAACTGACTATTTTTAGTTATGTTTTCATAGGATTAAGCTATTTGAAGCAGAAACTTCCACCTTTATCAGCCTTTGTAAGTACCGGGCACAAAAACAGGCTCAAAAGTGTCTCTTCTACTGTAGTTTGGTCTGTTTGGGGCCCTGATTTTCTCTCCCAAACAGATCAATATTTCTGTTCTCAAGCAAGACAAAATGTTCTCAACATTTGTCTCATTCAACTAAATCAGTTTAGGCAGGAAAATGCCCAACATCCAAGCAGATGCAAGTTGCGGAGGGAAGATAAAAGCCTGACTTTATAGCTCACAGGCTCTTTGAACAACAAGCCATGGAGAAAAGGAAGCAGAGGCACAGGAAATGCTTACCTCTCTCGGGATGGAAGAGATGCTGAGAAGTGTGATAGCACAATCATAGGAATAATCAGTTGGCACAGACCAGTTGACAGGGAAACCATGTTCTCTGCTGAATTAAAGCACAAGCTTTTATGAGCAGCAGAATCATAGAATAGTCAGGGGTGGAAAGGAGCTTAAGATCATCCAATTCCAACCCCCCGCCATGGGCAGGGACACCTCACACTAAACCATGGCACCCAAGGCTCTGTCCAACCTGGCCTTGAACACTGCCAGGGATGGAGCATTCACAACCTCCCTGGGCAACCCATTCCAGTGCCTCAGCACCCTCACAGGAAAGAATTTCCTCCTTAGATCCAATCTAAACTTCCCCTGTTTCAGTTTGAACCCGTTACCCCTTGTCCTGTCACTGCAGTCCCGAATGAAAAGTCCCTCCCCAGCATCCCTATAGGCCCCCTTCAGACACTGGAAGCTGCTCTGAGGTCTCCCCACAGCCTTCTCTTCTCCAGGCTGAACAGCCCCAACTTTCTCAGCCTGTCTCCATACAGGAGGTGCTCCAGCCCCTGAGCATCCTCGTGGCCTCCTCTGGACTTGTTCCAACAGTTCCATGTCCTTTTTATGTTGAGGACCCCAGAACTGCACACAATGCTCCAGGTGAGGTCTCAGCAGAGGAAAGGGGCAGGATCACCTCCTTAAAATAACCATGCTCTGTCTGGCAGAGGCCACATGCCACACATGGCTCTGTAAATAACACCACTATACATTAGGCAGAAATTCCTGCCAGGAAAAGTTGTATTATTTAAAATACTAAAAAAGAACAGTTCCAATCTTTCAGGTTGTCAGCTCATTGGAAGCTGGTGGTAGTTGTCATCCCAACCGTGCAGTCCTGGAGCACACGTCTGAGGGTGCCTCTGTGACATGATGGATGCGCCGGAGCCTTGCTGTGAGTCAGTATAACATGTAGTGAATACACAGGGAGGTATCACTCAAGTTAATCCACCAGCAGCACAACACCATGGAGGAAACCCCATTCTACTACAGGTCCCTGAGAGCTGAGCCTTCAGGGAGAGGATTTAGAGCCCCCACATCCCACACAGTTATTGATATACGTGGAGGATGCTCAGGAGAAACCTATTTGGGATTTTTCAGACCAAAACAAATGGCGTGTACCAACTAAAAGTTCATGTCCACACAGGGGAAAGGAAGAGCTCAGTGTGTGCCAATATCTGCCTGTGCTCTGATCTTTCAAGAGGGAGAAGAAAAACAACCACATTTCCAGTAGCAGCAGAACCTCCTGATTAGGGGAGGGGAGGGGAGGCCATTTGGTTCTTCACAAGCCATTGCATGGTTTTCCCTTTTATTTCCAGGCTCTTTTTGCAGCCCTATGCCTGCAGAGATGGGGCTGTGCCTTTGTGGGTGCTCACATTTCCCCAGGGATTACTCAGGAGCCATATCTGTAATGTATAATACTCCTGCCTTCCTCCTGCACAGAAGCAAACCTTCCCTTCTATGCCTGTCCTGGAAACCCTCACATAGCACTTGCTAACCCCAAACCAAAGTCCTCCCACTTTGGTTTTACTTCGGTCTGAAACTAGACAGTAAGAACAGCATTAGAGAACTGTCAGAGTTCCCTGAACAGTTTCTAGCCACCCTCCTGGGATGTTCACTACTCTAGGCATGAGAAGAGGCTTTCTATTTCTATTATCCTTTCTATTTGCTGTAAGCCACAGCACAAATACTTCCTGGGGGGTCACAGAGCACACAGGTGAGAGGGTTTGCATGATTAAGGAGCCATCAGCTTCATCTCACACACACTTGTGATGCTCTAGTGTTGTGTTTTCCTGCCTGACTTGGCTTTGGGGAGGGTGGAATCAGTAAAACAAGAAGGACACTTCCAAGTTTCTTATTGGAGTCCAAACAAGCCAGGCTCCAGAGCTCTGCTTCCCAGCTGAGGGATGAGCAAGAGCCGAGAACAGCCACTGAAACCAGAGAACACCATCCTTCAGGGGTGAAACCTGGAGTCTGAGCCTTGCCCCCCCAGCCAGGATCTCACCACTACAGTTTGGCTTTCCCTGGGCCAACCCTGGGCTGACATTTGTCTTAGAGCACCACATTTAAGAGCCCATTTTAAACCCCAGACTTTCCTCTCTCTTCATAACCTTCCTAGCTGCTGATCAAGTGGATCAACTTCCCTTTTCCCTTACTTTGTCTTCCTTGTGCAGATCACATTTGCTTGCTGAAGCTGCTAGGAGCAGCAATGGCTGCTGGGGAGGAACTCCTCCTGTGTGTCAGCAGTGTATTGCATTGGGGTTTGAATCAGTCAGACCCCAGGAAGGAGGTAGATCTTCAGTGTCCTCGCAGTAGAGCTGTTTAAACCTTCCTAAGCTACTTCGGAGCTTTTCATTGCCCTCCCCAGTGATGCTGGCTTTCAACACATGCAAACTCCATAGCTAGCTGGGACCTTTAGCTGAGAGAAGTGTTCACCAAGCCAGCCGGGGACCAGGGAGCATCTCAGATCTTCCCAGCAGACAAATCCCAGGGTTGAAATGTCAGATGGCACCCAAAGGCTTTGCTGAATCGAGGTTCCATCACCCCGCAGGAGCCGTACTGCTAGGAGAGCTTCCACACAGGCTGGCACACAGCCATTTGAGCACCTTCTTGCTCCTGCCCATCTGCTGTACTCCATCTAAAACTAAAGACCACGTTATTTCTGGAAGCCATCTGGTCCTGCTGCTCTTTGGGCCCTGTTCTTTCCTCTGGTTGCTCCAGAGGAGAAAAACCCTCCATATAACCAGCACTGCAGTTCAAGAGATGGATAGCTTCATGGCAATGGCTCAGCAAAGCATCACAGGGGCCTGAAACCCACCACCTGAAAACTGAAAGAGGGGACAAGGCCATGGGGCCAGCCTGATTGCATCAACACCGTGGTACTCACCACCCCTTGGTCACCCTGGGCTCTCTGCTGTCTCACTGCGCCGATGCTCCACTGGCCCACTCCTCTCCATGGCCCCCTATAAATGCGCAGCCCTTATCAGAAGCAATTATTTGGGTAAAGATATGAATACGAGTAATTGTGATTAACAGCAAATAACCCAGTTCTGCTGATGGGCAAGAATTCCTGCTTCTGCCTCCAGTGACAGTAATTCCTTGGGCAAACACCCCTGTATGAATTGATTCATTATGATTGTCACCATTATCTCTCCTCCTGACTTTAATTACCTCTTGATAGCAGCTTAATCTGCCGTTCCTTTTTAATCCTGGCTTGCCTTTTGTTTGCAGCTGCCAGGAACTGTTGGGGAGTGCATGTGTGTACTGGGATTTGCCTAAACACCGGGTCACGTTTTAGGGCAAACACTGTCTGACCAGCGGGATGAGGGCTGGGACACCACCTTCTCAAAGTTGAGGTTTCACAGCCGCATCTGGGCTGTATCACAGCTTCAAGAAAAGAAGCATGTTTATACATGCATGGGAAACACCTGGAATAAATTCCCTGCTTTTCCCAGGGTTTGGAGCTGGTTGCAGGTGGCAGGAAAATGGAGGGAGAAAACAGGATTATGACCTTTCTCTCCTTGTTTCTGTGGTATAAAGTAGCATGAAAGGATTAATGATTATAAATAAATCTTCTTATCTTCCAGCTGGAGAAAGAGGAGCTACGCTACACCACTTCTTGTCTGCTTGCCTTGTTTTCTTCAGAAAAGCAGAGGGCATCCCCATGGCTGGAAAGCTGGGAAGGATCTGATTTTCCCTGCCACCCACCCCCTGCTGAGCACCAAGCCTCATCACTACTGCCTGTGGCTGCAAGCTGCAGCCAGACCCCTGCAGATGGGAGGGGAAGAAACAGCAGGGACATTCCAGGTCCCATTCCAGGACTGCAATATGGAGAGGTGACATAGCCACCGCTGGGACTGGGAAGCCCATCTCCTCCTTCAGACAGTGCAGGTCAGTCCAGGCATTTCCCAAGCATCTTTGGCTCCTTTCTGCAAGGACTGGTTTCCTCAGCTGCCTTTGTGCTGCCATTCCTCTCGGGACCAGGCCCTGCTTTGGGAGCCCCCGGTGACATTGGTGACATCTGAAATTCTTGTGGTTTTGTTCTTTGCATCTAAATCTTCCTATTTCCTGCATTCATATTTTCTGGCTGCATCAGTGATGGCAGCTTCAGTCTGGGCTTGTTCATGCTGTTGCCAAACACCTACAAGTAACAAAGAGGGCCAAACATGTAAGAACAAGGCAAGGAGGAAAAAAGCCTATTAAAAAAGGCTAAATAACATATAGGGAGCTAAAAATGAGTCATTTGATGTCCTTTCCTTTGCAGAGAACCTCAATGGGTCTGAAATGCCCCCAGCCCCTGGAGAAAACTCAGTTTGCTGTGAGAATCTAACCGGGTATAGGGAAAGAGCATCCAGAAGAGGCTGCAACGAAGAGGCGGCCCCACGATGGCAGCAGAGCGTGAGTAACACGACAGGAAAAGCTTCTGGGGGGCTGGAAGAACATGAACCAAGCAACGTGGTGTGCCAAACACCGGGGTTTGCCTGGCAGCAAGCAAGCAGAGAGGGAAAAGGTGGTGGGATAGAAAACTGTGTGTCCGTGCCCAGCACTGCTGCAGCACAATGCAGGTGACAGCCACGAGCTTAATGCAGCTCCTGAGCTCCCTGATGAGGAAATTACGGACCATGAAAGGAAACCCCAAACTTTTGGAAGCTGAAATTTATACCTGAATAAACAGGAGCCCAAAGCAAATCCCCAGTCCTGAGACATCTGTGCTTTAACTAGAATTCACATTAAATGTCCATCAGGAGACATGATGGAAGCAGGAGTGATAAACAGGACTGCTTAACAGTGTCAGCTGAATGGAGCCTTGTGAATCTGCACCTTGCTTTTCCCCTTCTCCATTTTGTGAGCATTAAGACAGGAGATTCCCCAGCCTGCATGCAACAGAGATAAAGTGTGATTAAATCATCCATCTATCACTGTCATCTAACCCATCATCTCTGTGCAGCATCATTGCAGAGGAAAACTCCCCATCATTGACTGAGAACAAGGGAAATCGACATCACTGCCCTCATCTGATCCCTGATCCTTGCACAGTTGTAACACCCAAAGCTGCA